TTAGATAATTAATGTAAATCAATATAACCTGACTAAATTACTTCATGCAATTTAAAATTGAATAAAAATGCTTGTCTTTCAACAATAACGCATAGTGAAACAAAATTATTATGTGAATGGGTGGAATCCTCTTTTAAAATATTGTAAGAATAAGAATATTAGTGTTAAACTATTAATTAAGTGAATATGTAAGTTTGTTAGCATTCATAAGAGTTATGTATGTATAATGAAGAATTGTAAAAATGTAAAACTATTGAAATAAATGAAATAAATAACTTAAAATGTAATACACCAGGATTATCTAAGAAAGCATGTTTGAAGATAAAATCATAAAATTGCTCATTTTATAAAGGAAGCTGTTAGGAACTTAAATAAAGCGATCTTTTAACATATTAATGTAATATGGATTTAAATGAATCAGCTTGCATTAATTTATTAAAAAGTTCTCAATATTGTTTATGGAATGGAAATAATTGTGAAGGCTTATTTATAAATTAAGAAATTGATTGCCCATTGAAATTAAAGTATGCTGAAATGAAGGTTAATGGAAATGTATGTTAGGCAATATCTAAATCAGATGTGAAGTGTAAATATGATAAAAATACTTAATTATGTATTGCAAGTTCATTTGATGATTTTTGTGATACTCCATTTCTTAATCAGAATGGTTGTCAAAGTATTCAAAATAAATAAGCATGTTAATGGACAAAAAAAGGATGCAAATTTATTTAAATTGAATAAAAATAAATTTAATGTGAAAGCTTAGGATACACAAATTCATTTGCTTGCTCTTAGATTTATGAAAGTGATCAAATTGGATGTTATTTTGATAACAAAAAACAGCAATGCTAATCAATATTTGTCAATTAAGATGATAAATTCATTAAAAAATTCTTGAACACAATTACATGTAAAGATTCCTCACTAGGAATAAATAGAGTATTATGTGCATCTATAAACACCTAATCAACTCCCTGTAGGTGGTAGCAAGACTAATGCATTTATTTTTCTAAAAAAAGAGATATTTAATCAATACCTTGTTTAAATTTATAATATTCTAATTATTAAGCTTGTGCTTTAGCTTCATTTAAATAAGAACCATGTAGATATTTAGATAACTTAAAAGGATGTATTAATAATATTGAGTAAAATTCAAATTGTGATACAAAAGGATTGAATTCTATTGGTTGTTTATAAATTAAATAAAATGATGTTAAGCAACAATGTTATTTTGATAATACTCAATGTAATAAAATTGATTAAAATGTTCCTGAAAATAATGTTCATAAAAATTATAATGTCTATGAAAATGATGTAGTAGAAAATAATTTTAATTTAAATGAGGATTTTCCATTTGAATTAAATTTTAATTCGATTTAATAATGTACTGCTAGATTTCTCACAAAAATCGATTGTACCTCTATAATTACTAGGAATTAGTTATGTGAGTGGTCATTTTCAATAAACTCTTGCACTAATATTGAAGTTGAATACAATACGTAATGTTTATAATATTCTGGACCCTTTGTTTTAGTTAATCCAAATGTATGTGCATCAATATTAACAGATTCTTCGGATTATTGTGCTTTTGATTACTTTAAAAAAAATTGTCGAATCTTTAATTAAGAATGTACAAGTAGATGTTGTACTGAATCAACTTTAATTGGCATAAATGCACATACATGTAGTAGGTATTCAAAAAAAGAAGATGGACTTTATTGTTATTTTGATTAGCTGATATGCAAAGAATTGATGGATGATATTGTTGATATAACTAACGAAAAATTGGTAGCATAATATTTTAATTCCTAATAATTTCCTTGCACTTCTATGAATTATAATTCTTGTCATTTGATAAATTGGTCTCCTTAATAACTTTGTTTTCATGATGGATACATTTGTACTCAGCTTAAATTATCTTCAATAAAGGATTTTACTAAATTAACTCAAGAACCTTCACGTTTGAATGAAAATGCCTGTTTAGCTATTGAAGCAAAACTTACAAATTTAAATAAACAAAAATATTTCACCTATGATGAAGCCAATAAAAGATGCAAAGTAGTTACAATAAATTCTGAAATGCCTTATGAGAAATGCAATGATGCAAAAGGAAATAAAAATATATGTACTAGATATACTGGAAATAATCTTTGTATATGGGATTAGGACAATTTAAAATGTGCTGATTTATTCTAAGATGAAATTGCTGAACTAAAAGTTTGTTCTTCTAATTTAAATATAAAGGCTTGCATAGAAAATTTGACAATTCTTAATATAAAAAATGCATAACCTTGCTTTTTTGATAAAGAATTTGATATGTGTACTATTGCTCCATAAAATGTTGATTGTAATTATTTTTACAAAAAAGGAGATGTTAGCAATACTGTATGTCAATAGGTAAATAAAAAAGGTTAACTGTGTGAATATTCTGCAGATTTAAAAAGGTGTATAAAATCAGAAACTCAATTTGATTAATGTGATGTTTCAAAAACTAATGCTAATAATAGAGCATGCTTCAAAAACACAAAAGGTGATTGTAGATGGGATATATAAACTCAAATATGTTATGAAAATTAAAAAGATATTTCAGAATTGTCTTGTAATGATAATCTAAATTATAGTTTATGTTAAAAAGTACAGAAAGAAGCATGTATGTGGAATGATGTGTTATATTCATGCGTATAATTTTTTTAGATAACTTCTTAAGCGTTTGAGAAATTAAATGAAAATAAAAAAGCAAATCATTTTTACAATGAAAAAGCTTGTTTATTAATTTCAGGAGCTGGGTATTATTATGATGAAGAAAAAAAGAAATGTATTAAGATGGATGATAAAAATGAATTTACTTGTGATTAATATTAAATGAATGATTATGCTTGTTTATATTTAATAAGAAATCACAACTGCTTTTATGATATAAACGAATAACCACCTAATAAATTATGCAAACCATTTGAAGATGAATAATCTTAATGCAATACTACCAATTTGATTAATATTGAGGTTTGTATGAATTTACCAGTTTCATGTTATTTTGATGAAAGCACTCTTAAATGTTTACCATTTTAAGTTCTAGAAACTATGACTTGCACATAATTATCCGATTATTCCAAGAATAAAAAACATCATAACAAAATTGCATGTGCATCTGTCAGCTCAACTTTAACTTAAGTTTTGGAAGAAAAATTATGTTCTCAAGAAAAAGAAAATTTTTAATAATGCAGATTTGAAAAATATTGCTATTGGTCTGCATATACATGTTAAATTCATAAATTATTAATTGACTATTTTGATACTGGGAGATCAAAAAAATAAGAAACTATTACTTGCCCTGATGTAAAGAATGAAGAATAAAATTGTTCTGATGATTTATAAATCTACTAATCAGATCAATTTGTGCCAGGGAAGCTAATCCTTCATAGAAGTGATTCGATTTGGTTTAATGATACTTGTAATAAATAAACTATTTTTTACTAAAGAGAATATTAATTTACATCATTATTAGA